GTCGAACAAGTCATCAATCCTAGGAAGAGGATATTTATTCTTGACGGTGACCCTATTGAGTTGCCGGTAATCAATACACATCCTAAGGGACCCATCTTTCTTCTTCACAAACAACACCGGTGCACCCCATGGTGATTGGCTAGGCCTAATAAAACCCTTCTCCAACAAGTCCCTCAATTGTTCCTTCAACTCCTTTAACTCCGCCGGGGCCATACGGTAAGGGGGAATAGAAATGGGTTGAGTATTGGGGAGGAGGTCTATGCCAAATATGGTGGATGAAACTGCTGTATATAAGCATGCCTTTGCCTTTGATTTCATGGTTTTCCTTTCCTTGTGATTTTTAATCTACGCGATTGTGGGATTGTTTGGTAAGGGAACAATCTCGTAACCATCTTCTACAGCTTCCCAGAGATCCAAAGCTTCTAGATATGTCTGCATTCTGACTGCCCAGATCTGATAACTTTCTCCATTAAAAGCTGGTGGTGCCATTGAAGAAAAACTTGCTTCTCCGTCCATGGAATTCACTAAAACAGATTAATGAACACACACAAGTCCCTCAAGAATAAAAAGTTCTGATACCAATTGTAGTTAATTAATGTGGAAACCCAAAAAGAGAACAAAGGTACTGTCTTCAGTATGGCTTGCTTTAGAAGTAAGCAAGCAAAGACAAGTAGCAGCTAAGCGAGAGTGCTTGCAGTGATGAATAATCTGACTTTGTTGTAATGGCGATTTGCCGAGAAGAGAGACAGACATTTGGTGGAATGCTTAACTGAATCAATTTTCTGAATATCCAAAGTATATATATACACAAAGTATGAACAAAATATCTAACCTATCTTTACTGACTTAAAATTGACAGCTAAGCTAGAGGCTAATTCTAACTAACTGATATTTAACAGATTAACTACCACTGACAATAATTGTAATTACAAATATATGTATCAATACTAACTGCCTGGAAAACAATTTCCGGGCCTTTAAAAGGAAAACACAAGTTTCAGTAAGAAAATTTATCTGTCATTTTCATATTTTAACTAAACAACTATGTCAAGCTCTAGTTTATTATTTGTCAGTCAAATATTCTGGAGAAGCTCATTCAACTAAATTGTCTTTGAAAACCTAGGGTGTACTCAAAGATGGACAAGAAATTGCAGTAAAGAGACTTTCAAGATACTCAGCACAGGGAACGGATGAGTTCAAGAATGAGGTTATCTTCATTGCTAAACTCCAACATCGGAATCTTGTGAAGCTTCTTGGTTGTTGTATACAAGCAGAAGAAAAAATGTTGGTTTATGAGTACATGCCTAACAATAGCTTGGATTGGTTCCTTTTTGGTTGGTTATCACTTCTCTCAACTCTTAACGCACTTGGATTTCATGAATCATCTCTCAAAATAGTTCAATCATCAGACGAATTTGGTATCTGTTCTATGATTTGGATATTTGAAATGATCCTATTATAAGCTCTGGTTTTTTGCAGATACAGATAGGAGGTCACTGCTTGATTGGCCTAAGTGCTTCCATATTATTAATGGAATTGCTCGCGGACTTCTCTATCTACATCAAGACTCAAGATTGCGGATAATCCACAGAGATCTTAAACCTAGCAATGTTTTGCTAGACACTGATATGAACCCGAAGATATCTGATTTTGGCATGGCAAGAAGTTTCGGAGGAAATGAGACTGGAGCCATGACAAAAAGAGTTGTTGGGACATAGTAATAATCTTCAAACCAATGAACTATTTGCAGTATACTAAAAAGATACTTACTTTGTTTATTTGACATTATCCGACAGTGGCTACATGTCTCCGGAGTATGCAGGAGAAGGAAAATTTTCAGTGAAATCAGATGTATTTAGCTTTGGAGTTCTTGTTCTAGAGATTTTAAGCAGGAAGAGAAATAGAGGGTTCTTCCATCCAGACCATAACCATAATCTTCTAGGACATGTAAGAGCACTTCTTGTCTATTTTATATGTTAAGTAATATAAAACTTATAGCATCTAACTGCATAATATCAAATATTCAGGTCTGGATCCTCTTCAAAGAAAGCAGGGTTATGGAAGTAATAGATGCACAACTAAGGCAGTCATGCAATCAGTCTGAAGTTCAAAGATCAGCCCATGTAAGTCTATTATGTGTGCAGCAGTGTCCAGAAGATAGGCCGAGTATGGCATCAGTTGTGCTCATGTTGGGTAGTGATGTTACACTACCCTTGCCTAAAGAGCCAGGTTTTTTCAATGGAAGAAGCCAATCCACTGAAGCAGACACTTCATCTAGCAAGCACGGCGAAACTTCTGTCAATGAATTAAGCATCACACAACTGGATGCCAGATAGGAGATAAAGTTTAAGGTCATTGTTATTTCCTGTAGAGGCTACATTTGCTTAATTGTTCCTGTCATATAGCTGAATAACTATTGGTTGTTCAACATGACTAGTTGACACTTAATTTGCTGCATAACTGTAAGTAATCCTGAATTCTAGCTGATCAGTTGAAGACATGGGGAAGTTAAGTGATTTGATGGCTTAAAACAAGAGGAATCTTATTTGCATCATGAAGGTAAAACAGTATCTTCTAAGAAGCTTCTTATTGTGGAAATAACATCCAATAGCAATGTACTCCCGTGTTCCGCTTGACACAAAGTTTAAGAAAATTGGTCAAACAATAAAAATCTGTATATTTTCCTTCAATGTTCTCTCATAGACTTGTCTGAAATATGAAATCTATGCATCAAATTAGTTCTAATCCTTGGCCTTCTAATATTAGTACCTAATCGAAAAAGAAAGATTATATTGTAATTTGTACAAAATATTGTGGCTTAGTGGTCAATGAGGAGGGTTGATAACCATGAGGTCTTAAGTTCAAATATTAACAAAAGCAAAAGCACTTTGATTTCTTTGCATCTATCTATTCTTGGCGGATAGAGTTATCCGCTACCCATAGAATTAGGTGATTCCTTCCCATTTGCATAAACTTGATGGAAAAGTTATCCGATACTTATATTGATGCGAGGTCATAAGTACTTGGAGAATAGTTGAAGTGCGTGTACACTGGCCCGAACACCACCATTATAGAAACCCTCGCTTCCAAGTTCTCTGTTTCTAGAACAACTATTGGGCCCTGTGCGTTGGACACATGCGTTGCACGTGTGTCCCATGTAAATTTTTACAGATCCGTTTGAATGATTAAAATTTTATGAAAACATTACAAATAAATCTTTAAAAGTGACAAGATCAACCAAATGAGGGGTGTATTTTAAAGCTTAAAATTAATTCCTTTTAAGAAACTAACTGTAATTTTGTAACTTTGATAAGTACTTAGCAAACTTCCAATAAAGTCACAAGTAACTAACTTAAGTGCAAATAAAAATACAAATATACAACAATATGAAATTCATAGAAAATTAAATTAAAGAAGTCTAATAGAGAAAAAAACACAAAAAATAAATAGAGAAGAAACAACAACATACACATCCTCTTCTTAAGACTTTTGTCATATCAATATAGATGGAAAAAGAAATACAAATTCATTACACAATTTTTTGAGTTCTTACCATCAGACGAAACCTTCTCCCAAAACTAATCAAAATTTAAGAGTCTTCTTCTATGAGTCAAACTAAAACATGAATCAAATAGTACAATAGTGATACAAGTGTTCACTACTTTAACTATAGAATGAAATGGATAGCCTTGGATAGGGGTTTCATGAAATATAAAAGATGAATTTATAGAGATAAATTAAGATGGAGGCATACCAAAACATATCTTAAATTTTAAAATTAAATATTTGGAGGTAATGAATATGAAAAGCATGAGAGTTATGGATACCAAGAGAAGTAATTGAATAAGTAATTAAATAAATATTTAAAACAAATAAAGGAGAAAAATAATAAATAAATAAATAAAGGAGATAAAAATATTAGTAAAAATGATATTTAAGTGTTGTATGTAAAGTCTTTTCATTTGCAATTTTCGTGAGTAACTATATTTGTAACACCTCGAACTTCGAGAAAGGGTTAAAAAGGAAAATGGGTAAGACTACGAACCCAACACGGACCATGGACCCTTCACGACACCCTAGACGGGCCGTTTGGGGGTCCACAACCCGTTAAGGGCTTTGTGAGGACCATCCGAGACTGCCCTGGCAGGGGTCACCTAGATGGCACCCTACACGGTCCGTCTAGGGGTTCACGACCCATCAAGGGGGGATGCCATTGGAATGAGTCCACTAGACGGTGCCTTTGATGGCCCGTGGTGACTTCGATGGCCCGTCTAGGGGTCCGTACAAGTCACCCAAATAGTGAGATTTCACCAAAGGCCATTGTGAAGGACCACAGATGCCTAAACGGTCCGTGAAGTTTCACATGCACCGTGAAGCCGTCCTTGAAAGAGACTTATCAGATTTTGAGTTTTGGATCAACTACAAGCGATCATATCTTTTAGCACAAAATGGATTAGGTGGCCTATGACCTATAAAATTAAAGGTCTTTGAGTCCTCTTTCCAACGCGAGCAAGTTTTCCTAATTTCGAGCATAGAGTAAGACGTTATGCTCGTTTTAGTGAAGCCCTGTCGGGCAGGGCAACATGACGATCCACTAGACGGGCCATTATGCCTTAGAAGGCCTGTCAAGCCCCTTGTGAAGGTCACTTCGTCAGCTTTAAGTCAGGGTCGTATCAATCATTTTCCCTATGTGTTTGGTACTTAAACCACACCATTTTACTTAGTCTAAGCCAAAGTAATTAGTCAGAAACTACCTAAAACCCTCATTCTCCTAAAATCATCTAACTTGGAAAGAAAAGAAAAGAAAGAGGCGACAGTTTCTCCAAAGAACAAACAGAGGTCTTCTTCAAGTTTAGCCCCAAAATCGGAAGGATTTCTCTGTAGTTTTCGTCACCAGGTTTGTGTAATTTCACTAGTGGGTTCCTTTCACCCATTAGTTCCCTAGAATCCAGTCAATTCTTCAGTTCTCCATAAATTGTTCAGACCTAGGGCTCCTAAATCTTAGGGATCCATTGCAATTCAGCCGCTATAGTCTCTATAATGTTAATTACATATGTGAATAAGAAGTTAAAATTGAGAAATTAAAAAATAAAAGAGAAGAAGAAGTAGAGGGAAAGAATAGGGGAGACAAGGGAGAATGATTTAGGGAATTAATGGTAAAATAAAAAGTTCAATATTATATTTGTAGCGGATCGGGTTAAATGGGGCGGGTCATTAAATGGTTTAAATGGATATATATTTGGTTTTTAAAATTTTGGTTAAAAATTAAAATTCCATGTCAGCAAATTTTAATGAAAAAACAATTAAACAGGTTGAGTGACTTTCTGTGCAAAGAAGTCATAGTTGAGTGACTTGTGAGTTGAAAATGAAAGTTGAGTGACTTTCTGTGAAAAGAATTGATAGTTGAGTGACCATCAAAGTTATTAACTCGTATGGTTGGTGTGTAATCCTATCCTTACGATACTATCAAAATTGCGGAATCTAAACCGCCATGTGTATTCCTATCCTTATGATACTGTTCAAAGAAATTGGATCAAAGATTTTAATTGGTTTACGATTTGTATTCTTTGAAGTATCTTGATCTTTCTTACGTGAACCTTTTGATTCTTAGTCTATATGATCTCTAGCACTATTCCAACATCTATTGAGCAGCTTTCACGTTTGAAAATTTTAAAGGTAAAAGATAACAATGGTGAAATTCAGATGAACAAAATTCAGAGAGAGAAGAAGAATGGAGAAGAATGAAGAAGAACACGGAAGAGAGTTAAAAAATTTCAAGAAAATAAAACTACATAGCAAGTAACAATTTCTTGGAAAACTGAAGATGTAGAAAGAAAAAAAATATTTGAAAAACTTAGTAATAACCATTAATTGGTGAGAAAAATTTAATACATGATAATCATCCCCAAAAATAGGCACAGAATCCCCAAAAATGATATACTAAAATCGAAAATAAATAAATAAATAATTAAAAGCGAAAATTAATTAAATATGCTATGTTTGCACTTTAGAAACTTCATTTGTAATTAAAAATAAGTATGTGTATATATTGTTAATTAAAGTCTTAAGTAGTATACTTTGTAATTTTCACAAAGCTAAATAGCAATATGCTAAAATTCTTGATATTAAGCGGTCAAATTGGGCAGGTGATGACCTAACCCAATTTTTAACCCATTTGAGCTCAAAGTAAACTTGGACGGGTCATGACTAAACCCAATTTCTAGTTCAACCCATTTTAATTTCTCTAATTTTAGTCTAACCCTCTCATTTGGCATCCCTATTCTATTATATAAGTAAATAACAGAGATGAATATACGAATAATTCATATAAAGTAAATTTTATTAGAATGAATAAGCATATAATATTCCATAAAAAAATAGAGAAAAATATTGAAAATACCCCTAAACTTGGCGTGAATTATTACTTTTTGTTCTCCCAACTAATGATAGCCTTAAAATCACCTTCTACTTGATTAAATAATTTGTAAACACCCTCCTATGCCACATGTTATCCACCCACCTGTATATGTAGAATTTTCAACTGATGTGGCGTACACATTGATATATGTAACAAAATAAAAAAGAAAAAACATTTATATAATTAAATGATAAAATTTGTCAATTAAAGAAGAGAAGAACTTTTAATAAAAGAATTAATCTTTTTCTTACCCTACCCCATCTCTTACCCAGTACGAGAGTACCCCAACCCCACCACTCACCCACAAATATTCTTATTCCACACCACTGCCTATCTCGACTCCTACCCCCTCCCCCCCTCCCCCGCTAATTAAATTAAAAATTACTTTTAAAATAATAAAAAAAATTCTTAACCCAAATTTTTTTTGGGGGTGGATGGGTAGTGAGGTGTGGAGTTAGAGTACCGGGTAGGGTGGGATAGGGTAGTAAAAAATAATTTTAATTTTTAAAAGAAAAAAAAGCTCTTGTTTTCTTCTTTAGTTGTTAAATTCTTAACATTTAATTATTACTCAATATATATATATATATATAGACAATCTGATGTGACACTCTCTATGGCTTCCATTCCTATTTATTTTTCTCTCCTTTTTTCTGATATTTTATCTTTGATTTCTATTATTTATTTGTATTCTTAAAAACTGAAAACATTTAAATACATTACCCAATTAATCATGTTTCTTTAAAACTTTCCTCACACTAATACACATTTAAGTAAATGGAAGATGAAAAGACTAAAACTTTTCATTTTTAGTAACAATTTATATTTACTTAGCCTATAAAATAAAAAATATTAGAGTATTTGTACCCAACAACAATGGATTCCTTCACTTTATCTCTTCTTTTGATGATGATAATGAATATAATCAAATTTCTTTACTGAGATGTCCAACGAATTCATGATTCTTTAGAAAATATTGATGTAAGGAGAAAGGTCATGTAACAAAAGTTTATCTTCAAAATAAAAGACTTTTTAAAAGAATGTTGATTATGCCGTTGAGATGACCAACTAATTTCTAGCCTTGTGATTGCTTTACGAAAAGAGAAAGGAGGAGTATCTTGTGATCCTTTGGAAGATATAAGTGTAAGGA